GTGCTATCCCATAAAATTTATCCATTTTCAGTTACACAAAGATATCTAAAATTCAATTAAAATTTCAGCTTCTCAATAACACAAGGCACATTTCAGAACTACATGGCAACGTGGTGTGGCTGAGTCCCATTTGAACAGGATCAGCTAAGTGTGGTCATTCACTGAGAATATTTCTACCAACAAAGACAGAGTTCTACTGAGCTTTGTGATTTAGCTCCTCCATGGGTACTTTTCAGTCCTGGGGATGAATTACTCAAAGCCGGTGTCTTATACCTGTTAGACCAGGCACTGGTGGGAGTCACAATCCAGTCGGAGTAAATGACCTCGTTAATCAGAAGAAGGCAGGGATTCTCTTACGCAGTAGGAATACAGAGGTGTCCCCGTGATCCCCTTGACTATGTCTTGGGGTCCCCACACGCTTTCTGCGATGAGTGGCCTAGGTCACTCTCTGTACCCTAGAGAGGGCCAGAAACCTGAGGGAGAGAGGTCTGTGTCCCACTATCATGTGCCCACGTGTGTCGTTCCAATCTGCACATAAAGTGAGACTTTGAAAGTTCAGTTTCTTTTCCTCTCAGAGATAAACAACTGCCTGCCTCAGACCTTCTATTTTTTAGTACATAATCAACATCCCCTCTTCTCCACAGACCAAAACGAATGACAGAAAATGCAGATGTCTCCAGCTCCCGGAGGCTGGAGCCTGGTGCCCTGCCTCAGGACAGTGGAGAATGAGCCGAAGACGGCTGTGAATGACAAAGCCAGTGTGGCGGTCCGAATTTTCCTTCTGTGCGCTCTCGGCCCTCTGTGCGCAGGAGTAAAAAGCCCTCCCCACCTGCACAAGGCGAGATGGAGATCTGAGGCTAGCGAGCCGTGCCGCCTGCTCGGAGCTGGCTTTGAGTCAATATTGGTTTTCTGCTTACCAATATGTATGTGTGATTCCTGTAATCTGCTCATCTGAAAACAGGTGACCCTAAGCATATGAACCTCAGCGAGATGCACGGCTACCAAGAGCAGAACACGTGCTGGCTGCTGCCGAGAGTCCCCAGGAACAGACAGCAGACTAGGCTTGTGGTTTAGCACCCCAAGAAATGGAGGTCACAGTATTTATACCCTACTCTTTCTCATGAGAACTACATTAGGAAAAGATCAATCCGATTCCTTGAGGAGAAGAATTCAAGGCTGTTGACCCTCCCAGTATGAAAGTAGCAGCTCAATCTTCTTAGAAGCGTCTGCTTAAATCAAGGCTTGTGTCCGAGCTGACTGGTTGTGCAGTGCCTGCTCTCCACTCAGCTTTTAAACCTGAGTCTGCTTTAACAGTCTCATGTGGGAGAAAAAACATGTTCTGTATACATTTCTGTGGGGTATACACCTCAGCTCCGCTGCAACCACACAGAAAGAACTTCCTACCATAACTCTCTCCAGGAATCTTCAGGCAGAGGTGTTTGCCTGTTACCATCAGCACCTGGCACTGTCTTGGGCTGAGCAGGTGGCAGTGGGGACACAGAGAGCGAAATGCTCAGAGCTCGGCAGGCTGAGGCCGGGTCCAGGACAGGGTGGGCCAGCGGGCAGAGCAAAAGGAGGAGGAAACCTCAGTCAGCACAGGGCCTTAGATGATTTTGGTATCACCTGCCATTCACACTGGGGAGGACATCACAGCTGTCATGGGAGCAACAGGTGTGCTCAGGAGCCTGGAGGGTGAGGGAGGAGCAAAGCAAACTCTGCAGTCAGCCTCTGTGGGGCGCTCCTGCCCAGGGCCTTCGGGGTGCGGTATCAGCCTGTTCCTGTCAAAGGGAGCGAACGTGCATGTTTTGAAGCTCCTATGCATATACAGAGAGAGGTCCGTGTGCTGTGTGGACAAGGTGGGAGGGTCAGTCAAGTTGTCCCGCAGAATCTCCTGGAGAAATGGCTGCAATGAATAAAGTAGCAGGTGTGCTGGTATTTCAGCGGCAAGGGATTTATCTAGTGACCCTTCCAAAGGACCAGAGGACTGTAGTGTTCCCATGTCTAAAACAGAGGCGAAGAGAAGCTGTTCGAGAGTGAGGATTTGTAGTGTCATTTTAAGTGGTTGCATAGTAGATGCTCAACCAAAATCATCCAATATGATTGTTAAGATAAAGTTCTCTTTCTCTCTGGGACAATTTTTGAGCAGGTGAGACATGTGTGGAAATTCTCCAACCTTTTTAAGTGGCACCTACTATGGGCCAGATGCTTCAGATATAGTGAGGTTCTTGTTCCTCTCTCATTCCCGCTCGTCTATGTGTCCCTTCAGTATAACCTCCAGTCTTAGCAGGCTGAGAGTTTTCTCCTGTCATTGGTTTCATGGTCAGTCTGCTAACCTGTGAGCTGTTCCTACAGTGCACATGATTCTGAACTTTAGGACTAGTCTCTTTGGCACACTGCAAACCAGGGCTTCCCTGTGGGCTGGGACACGGACCAGAGTTTGGAGAAGGAATGTGTTTTTGTTCTTATTTTAAGATAAATAAAAGAAGCACTGACCACCTACTCAGAGGACTTGAGAGTTTGGAGGAACTCAGCCCCAGCCGATGTTTCTCTTTCCTCCACTGTGGTGAGCGTGGTCCTGCCTCACCTGCAGCTTGTCAGCGAGCTGTGGGTCTGACCACCTACGTAAGCTCACGCACCTGCATGGGAGCTATGTGGACCTTTTCTAGTGCCTCATTCCGTTAAAACCTACAAAAATTCGAAATTGCCTCATAAACTATCCTAACTTACCTCCCAAGACAAGTAGATTGCGTCACATTTCAAACTGCTTATCACCTGTTTGGTAACGTTTGATAGTGTGTTGTTTTGTTCTTTAGGAACATATTCCAGAGTTTAAGCATCATAGTCCAAAGTTACCTTTTATGTCAAAAAGGCTGCTGGTGGTGGAGGGTTTCCAGGGCGAGCAAACTGACAGGTGGGGTCAGGAGTGAGGGCAAGGTGATTCTGGGCACCTCCCCTGGGAGCGGGATGCACCCATCTCCTGCTCATTCTCACATTCTTCATTCAGGCCAGATATTAATGCCTTGGTCACAGGGTCATTGTACACCCCATAAGATTTGTTTTAAATTTATCTGAGCATAGAAATAAATTCAGAAACATAGTTGAGTTCAGGGCACGAGGATTGGGAACAGGGTGGCTTCTAGGGGACCTCACACTAAGGGTCTAGTTCCAGCCTTGTCATTTACCACACAGGGATCCTGAAAAGTTCCCATGAACAGTGGGCCTCAAGTTCTTCACCTATAAAATGGGTTTGACACACGTTTTTATTTGTAGGACTGGTGTAATGTAAGAAATGTAATAAAACATCTAGCAAAATAACCTGAAATAAATTGAGTAGTTGGTGATAAGAACTTGGTTCTTCTCTTAATGCTGGATGATATCGTACCTGTCCTGTGAATTTTTTGTTTGTGGTTCTCAGGAAAGCTGCAGGTGACCAGGAATCAGGGGAAAAGGATATTCCGTAAAAGTTCCCCCAACATGTTCTCTGCAGTAGGATATATTACTCGATTAGATGTTGGAGAGAATGTTTTTTCTGGGACTGATTCAAAGCTCCTGGAGTTGGGTGAATAACCATATCCTCTCCCTGCCACCAGAACAACTATTTTCAATCATATCACCTTTGCCAAAAGTCTAACCTTGGGAATTTTGAGGCCAGATATTAATGCCTTGGACACAGGAGTCAATGTACACCCCGTAAGATTTGTTTTAAATTTATCTGAGCATAGAAATAAATTCGGAAACACAGTTGAATTCAGGGCAGGAGGATTGGGAACAAGGTGGCTTCTAAGTGAACTCACACTAAGGGCTTAGTTCTGGCCTTGTCATTTACCACACAGGCCTAAAACCCTGCTCACTCTAGTGACAGGGCCATCTCAGCACACGCAATTCCATGAAGCTTCAAGCAAAATTCCACACTCTGACAATACTAGCATAAACCTTCTGCACAAAGAATATGACTGAAAACTGACCCAATGGAGTCCAGCTATAAGACGGACATGGCTCTTTCACTCTCTGAGAAGGTTTTCTGGGGGCGGGGGAGCATCTTGGTCAGGCAGACATCTGACCACTTGTGCAAATGGCCAGTGCCATTGGCCAGGTTCTGACATCTGTGTTGGAAAAGTATTCAGGAAACTGGGCTCACAAGGAGAAGGTGTTCCCAGGCAAGCGGTCCACGGGGCACTGCAAGAGCCTTGAAGCTGGTGACTGCCAGCAGAGTGGAAAGCAGCTGGTCGGGGACCTTAGGGCCTCACTCTCTCCCCCGGCCAGTCACCCTTATGTCTCAGGAAACGCGTACAGAGGCTGGGCTTGTGTCCTGCACAGGGCCGCTCTTCTCATAGATGCCCCACGTGAGGGTACCTGTCAGCCTCACCCATCATCTAAAAGCGCTGCTCAGAGCAGTCTTGCATCCTCCCAGGTTTTCACCTCAGCCCAAGACACCTCATCTGAGGCTCTGGCCTTGACCACCTTGCAGCTGCATTAAAATAAACTCCTGCAGAAGGAGCTGCAGGTAGCCAGCCCCAAACGTCTGTCTTAGAACTCACCCAGGGCTGCTCTCTGCTAGACTCCACCCGCCCTTTAGAGCCTGGAGGACATCTCTCTGTTTCCTGACATTGGCAGTACTCCTGGACTCCACCATCCTACGGTGTAGGCTTGATCCTGCTCTGTGCCCTTTACTCGGGTCTCTACCAAAGACTCGGGGCCTTCAGAAGAGCATATGTGCAATGAGTTTCGGGGAGTGGAAATATCCGTTAACGGATTTATTGACAGTAAATCACTCTAATTGAAGAAACCAAGCAAATTCCTGTATCTATATATTTTTATTGTGTACATTGACAGGAAAAATGGATCAGAAATCAAGAATTGAATTTTATTTTTAATTTTTATTTTTATTTTAGCTTTTAACTCCATCTAACTTAAAATTCTTACACATTTCGAAGGAAATTTCTACTTCAGTGTTACACTATTCTGTTTCATATCACAAGAAAGTGAAAGGTTTCCTAGCTGGTTTACAAAACAGTGAAGATACTTACTTTTGGAAAGGATAAGCAAAATCTATGTTTGCTCAATACCACAGGGAATCATAATTTCATCAAAAATCAAAGTCCACAATGTAACAGCAGCACAAACAGATGTGACATCAACATCATTCTTCAGATAAGATATGCAAGCTCCTTTAATTTTCATGAAAAACACAGATGTAACCCAAATAGAAGGAACATCAGGAAGGTATGCCCAGGACTGCACCTCCTACCCTGGCCCTTCACTACTGAGCAGGCTGCTCTCCTCCAACACAGGCTGAAGGATGGGCATCATTGCACACGGGCTGTAGCTAAGCTAGGGGTGTGGTTTCTCAGTAGAATCTCTCCCTGGCCTGCAACTTGCCCTTCCATCAGCCCTGAGTGCACGTCGGGCACGGGCTTCTTCTAGCTCCTCTTTGAAAGCCTCTTCATACAGAAGTGGGTAGGACCAGGGATCTCTCTTATTAACCCTGGCCAGATGCTCCAGGACTTTCATCTTGGTGGTTTCAGCGTAGGTCCTTGGACCCCACAGGAACTCATAGCGAGCAGGGCTGCTGTCGGGGACCTGGCGATACACTACATACCCTTCCTGAACCAAATCCTCAGTGATATATTTCCTGGGCTCCCCATAGATGAAATGTTCTACCCCATCAAACACCTGCATCTTGCTAAGTGCCTGCCAGATAACCTCCTCACTGGCACTGTTGCCTCTCCTGAAGATGGCAGTGATGATCATTATTAAGAGGCCAGTTTTGGCAATGCAGTACTCATCAGCCACTCTTTCATTATAGGTGAGACCCAGGGCAGGGGCAAGGACATATATGTAGCCAGGGGGATCCACTTCCTTGACATCAATGCCAAAGACCACGTACAAGCAATCACAGACTCTGTTGAAGATCCGAGGAAAGTGCTCTGGGTAACGTTGGATGACACAGTGCACCATCTCTGCCCGGGAGGTCAGCTGCTTTTTTCTATACTTGTGGATCAGGAAATCCACCAATTCATCTATCTTCTGATAGAGGACCACATCGGGCAGGGGCTGAGGGCCTCCCTGGTCATGTGAGGGGAGCAGAGGCTGTTCTTCTCCCCTGCTGGAGCCCTCACTGGATAGGCTCGTTTGACTGGAGGCCATGGCAGTGGGGGAAAGAAAGACAAGCTGAGAATCCTGAGGACCACTTGTTCTAAGGCTCAGGCCCCTTTGATGGTGAGCCTTGGAGTCGAGCAGAGCAGGAAGAGGATGCAGAGGAAGCAGTGGCTGCTGCTCACTCTACTCCGACTGAGAACAGGCACACCCGCTGGGCTTCGTGTCTCTATTGAGGCCAGGCCACCTCCCTAGCTTGAAGCGCGGGCTGTCCTTGTGATGAAGGAGTTCTCAGGTTGCTCGGGGACAGCAAGAGCTCGAGACCAGGACTCAGGATCCTGGAGGAGACAGGAAGACCATGAGCGTTCTCAGCCGACGGCCCTCTCTCCTTGGCTTCCACCAAGGCCAATTACAGGTCTTGCTTTGAGTGCTGCCCTGGGACTTCACAGGCTCCCGTCCTCCCGGAGGGTCTGCCCCCAAGTCCCCGGGACAGGAAGGGAGGCTGTGGGTGAACTGCAGAGGACAGACTCTGGGGCAGTCAGCACAGCACGTGGAGCCCCATACCATGAGGAGTCCCCGCTCTGGGACATGTGGCCCCTCAGTACAAATGAGTCAGTGCCTCACCTGGACTCCTGATGCCGCCGGGCCTCCTCTGCTGCTGTGAGCTGTGGACACGGCTGTTACACCCCTGCTTCCTGGAGCTCCTGGAAGAGGCAGGGAAGAAGCCTTCCTGCAAACTGCAGCATGGTTCTAGGGCTCCCCCAGACCTCACAGGAAGGGCAGGCTGGACACTGAGCTCCCAACTTGTGGTATTTTCTCTGCTCAAAGCCCCTCCCCACCCCTCTACAGGTCCAAGGCAAAATCTCAGGAAAAAGTGTCTTCTTTCCTGATAGGAAACAAAAGGCATCAGGGTCTCACAGGGGCCAGGACGGCCCGGAGCCCACAGGTGGAAGGAGACAAATTCACGTGATCTAGGGAAGGGAAGGTGCTCCATCCTTATCTCCAAGAATGGTTGGGTCTGGGGCTCTCCCTGGGATGATCTGGGCCCATGTTCAAAGAGAAAGTAGAGGAATGCAAGTCTGCCTGTGTCCCCTGGGTCTGACAACAGGTAACAAAGGGTCAAGTAGAGGTTAGGCTGCTGTGTGTCCAGGACACCCACCCAGGAGAGAAGCCTCAGGCTCGGAGCCCTGCTCAGGTTGCCCGAGATGGTTGGGGGCTCAGGCAGCTGTGTGTGCAGCACCCAGCATCCAGGTAGGCTGCCCGGGTGGTCCTCGCTGGGACCTTGGCAGGCCCTGGACCCACGGGTCTGCTAGGCAGATGGGCTCCCTGTGCCAACCTGCAGACATCCCCCAGATCAAGTCCTGCACCACCCTGAGATCCCCGGGATTCTGTAAGAAGTGAGCAGGTGCCCCTCCGTCACCCACACATGGGGACAGCAGTGCTGCCAGCAGGGCCTGTGCCTGGCTCTCCTGTGATCCAGAGCTCCTGTTATGGTTTAGTCTCAATTTCCCCCAAAGTCCCATGCGATCAGAGCCAGGACCCTGGTGACAAGCCTGGGTTATGAGGGCTTTTAGCTGACTTGCTGTTAGGAGCTGGGGCCTGGTAGAAGGGCAGGGTCACAGTGGCTGTGACAGGAAGGGTTATGTCTCCCTTCCTGGCCTGTCCCCGCCTGGAAGAGCTGTGGTGGGCTGCCTTTCTCCCACCAGGCCCACACACCACGCCGCTATGCCTTGGAGCTGCCCACTATCACTGAACTCCACTTGTGAGCCCAAATCAATGTTTCCTCCTTTAAAGTGCAGGTGACAGGTATTGGGTCTCAGCAATGAGATCCTCAGAAAACCCTGAGGTGCTTCTGCAGTTTCTCCATCTTCCTGCTATTGGGCCGACCTTCCCTGACCCTCATTCCCCCCAAGACTCCCAGGCTTCCTGCCTGCTGGGAGCAGAAGTGAGCTCTCCACTTGGGGCCTCCCAGGGCTGACCCCTGGAATGGGGAATGGAAGCTGCTGAGGATTCGCAGGTTCTGGGCTGCGACACACTCAGGCCTCAGGAAGGGTCCATAGCTTGGGTCTGGCAGCCGCTGGGGTCCTCCGTCTGCTGACCACATGGAGCTCCCTCTGCTGCCCTGTGGACCCTCTTGGACCAAGGTCCTCCCCTCTCTAGGTTCTCTCCCCCGCCCCCAAACACTTGGCGGAAATGAGAACAGTCCTGAGGCAGCCCCCCTTCTGGACCCCAGCTTGCTGAAAGGAAGCCAGGAGCTCTGGCAGCGGGGTCTATTCTCATCAGGGGTGTGGGGTAAAGTCATACCTGCAGTCTTGGGAAACAGAAGAGTGGGGAGCAGCTCCGATTCAGCCTTTCTGATACTCGGAACGCAGACTCTGGAAAATAAAAGTTTGAGGAAGACAAAAAAAAAAAAAAAAAAAAAAAAAGATTCCTAGGATGCAGGCAAGGACCCACACAAGAATTGCAAACCCCAGAGCAGCCGAAGGACAGATGAGGTGGAGAGGAGAGTGAAGCTGTCTAGACTCTGTCCCTGGCCCCTGGCTTGCTAGAGAGGAAATGGAATGTGGAGAAAGAACCAAGGGAAACCTGGGGACTCCAGGCGGCGCTTCAGGGGACAGGCATTGCTGTGATCTTCAGGGATGGCAGGGAGCTCTGCTCCCAGAGTCTTCACACAGGCACAGTGGGGGAGTGACCCTTGTGCGGGGGAGTGACCCTTGTGCGGGTGCCTGACAAGTCTGCTGTGAGAACGTGGCCTTGGGTGCCCAATCCAGGAACACGCTGTGAGTTTAACTCTGGGAGTCAGGAGCCACAGAATAGGTTGGCTTCAGTGTTCCCAGTGTTACCCTCCCACGGAGAGCGCAGGACAGAGACAGCCAAGGGGACTGGCTTTGGCCTCAGCTGGGAGGGGCACAGGGCCTGCCCCCTGGCAGAGGCCAGGCCCAGCCTGAGTTGCTCTGGACCCCGGTCTCACTCAGCCTTGGATATTGAAGCCCATGCCCTTCTGCCTGCCTCCAGCGGGGATCAGGGGTGTGGCTGCCCACCTTATCCTCCAGTGTGACCAGGGCCGGCCTTGACTTGGACACTGCCACAGCCCGGGACAAGCAGCAGGCTGCCTCTGAGAGCCTGGAGAAGTGTTAGACTCAAACAGTTAGCCTCCTGGGAGGAAAGCGTTCATTCACACCCCCAGAGAGATGTTTTCTCTGTTCTCCTTTTTCCCAGTCCTGCTTTTAACCTCTTTTATCGACTTGCCTTGCTTCTTCCTTTTTAATATTTTCCATTATGTTTGTTACTTTTATTCTCTATATGATTTCTTTTTTAAATTCTCCATATAATTTCATTTCACTTCTTCCTTTTTTGCCTTGGCTTCTATTTCTTGGCCCTGTTGATTGTTTGCCTTTGCCCAGCCCCCTACCGGCCTTCAGGTGCATAAAGGGGTCCTGTGCTCCCCTTTTCTCCCCTCTCTCTCACATCCTGTGGATTAAGATTTCGAGCTTTCATCATCCCTTCTGCCTTTCCCAGCCCCTGGTATTTTCAATAGCATAATAATTAAGCTTCATTAATTTCTAGGTAATTAACTCTATAAAGTTATCCCTGCACGTTTTTTCAAGCCCTAGAGGAGCTACAGTGGCTGTGTGTAGTGCACACAGGCTGTTGGTTATGGATCGGTTGTCTTACTATTTCTGCTGTAATTGTGGATTTCTGTTGTGGGTACAGGTGGCACCTAATTGGCTCTCTTTCCATGTTAATATCTGACCCTTCCTGGCTGGTACTACTGTAGCCGAGTTGCTTGGCATTGCCAGGATCACTTAATTGTATGCCAGTGCGCAGATCGCCTCTGTGAAATGAGCAGAACTGGGGCCCCTTCCCTGTGGATTCGGTGTTGGGCCCATAGCCCTGCAGCCTCTCCCCCAAATTCACAAGGGTGGTCAGATCTGCGGAAGAGGTAAAGGACGGTGGTTAGCTAAGCCCAAAGTACATCCCTGAGAAGCAGACTGACTATGCTGATCTCTTTACTAGCGGCAAAGATTGTGCACTACAAGCGCTACAGATTGTAGCACAGAAGCGACAGCAATAGAAACAGGAGACAGCAAGGCAACAAAAAGACCCTCAGCCTCCCCGCTGCTTCGAAGCCAGTCCAGGGGCAGCAAGGGGGAGATCAGCATAAAGCAACACCTAAATCTCTAAAGGATACCTGAGGTTAGCAAATAAATCACAGAAATGCTGTCTGTGTTCCCAGATAACATAGGTCAAGAGAAAATTGATCCAAGAAATTTCAGAAGTCACTAATAAGGTCCCTGAGTGAAACAAAATGACTCTAAACATGAATAACCAGTTTAATGAAAAATTAGAGTACATGCAAAGGTCTCCCTCACAAACTGGACTGAAAATTACATTGGCCATATGGGTAATGAAGCAACCAGTGCATCCAGGTTCCTAGAACCGGAAGTAGTGATACATTTAAAGACCAAGTATTCAAAGACACTTTAAAAGCAAGAAGGAAGCTGAAAATGGTGGTGGCTGGCTGTAATTCCAGCACAGGAGAGTGTGAGGCAGGAGGATCACCATGAATTCAAGTCCAGCCTGAACTGCACACCAGACCTGGTCTCAAAATAAAACAAAGCCAACCCACATGAGAACACAAAGTATTGATACAACACCTGCTGGTTCATGCAAAGATGATTAATGGAAGATTAATTAAGAGTGGCAATTGGAACAGGTAAAAATAAAAAGACAGAGCAAACAACATTTTAGAAAAAGTCTGGGTGCAGGAAAAATAGCAGAAAGCTCCCCAAATATAGGACAAGGCATAAGCATGCAGATAACTAAGGCATAGAGAATTCCAAGCAGTTACATCCAAAAGAGAACCTCTTGTGTGAGCCAGGGGGACAGCCCGACTCCGCAGCTGCTGAGAGCCAGCCATGGTGGAGTCCAGGTGGCTGCAGAAGAAGGCAAGTCGCCACCCTCTTGGTAAGCGCCTCCCTCCTGTGCGAGCCAGGGGGAGCCCCAGTCAGCTGCTCCCAAGAGCCTCCCCTCCCCAGTTAGCCACTGGGGCCAGAGGTCTAAACGTGACTGGAGAGGATGGCTGTATGCAATATAGCAAATATGGGGGATTCCTTCTGTCTTCTGTTTGAAGGCAATGGTTTTTTTTCACTGTTTTGCTTCATTATGATTAATTGTATTACACTATTCAGTATTTTCTTTCGAATGGTTTTTATAATGTTCCATTTTTTTGTTTGATATTGCTATACCTAACTGACCGGACAACTATTGTGACGATAACAAGATACACTATGGTACCTATTACTGTTATCCAAGTATCCTGCTGTGAAGTCCTGTACCAATTTCACTGCATTGTCTCGACTGGCTTTGTTCTGTCTTGTTCTGCTGTATTTTTAGTACCTTCAAAATAAAAAATTAAAAAACATTTAAAAAATCAACCTCTCCATGTGTATCATTCTGAAAACACCAGAAACACATAACAGGGACAAAATCTGAAAATCAGTTGGAGAAAAGTAGCAAATCACTTATACAGGTAAATCCATTGGAATAGTGGTTGACCTCTCAATACAAAATTAAGGGCTAGGTGGGTTTGAAGTGAAGTGTTTCACACCCTGAAACAGCAATTTTCAATCCATAAGGATATATACTGCAAAATAATCCTTCAATGTTGACAGAGAAATAAGTTACCTCCACGAAAAGGAACACCCGAAGAAATTCAGGACCACAAAGCAGCTTTATAAAATTATTGAGGATATTCTAGAAAGAGAGAGTGAAGCCAATAAATACCAGTAAGTCACATAGAATGAATTTGCCTGACAAGATGAATGGGTAAGCAGAAACAAACAAACACAAACAAACTCTAAGGAAATCGGCCAGAGGATGTTAATGCAATAACAAGATGTCAACTTCTTTCAGTAACAACTCTCAGTGGATCAATCTGAATTCTCTAATCAAATGACACAGATTGGCAGACTATCAAGAAACAAGACCCAGTGTTATACAGTATAAAAGAGACACGTTTAATTCCAAAGGAAATTCATAGGTTAGAAATCAGTGGATGGATAACAACTATGCAGTGGGAAACTGAAAAAAAGTAGCAGCCATTTAATTTTTGAGAATTAGATTTCAAACCAAAACTAATTAAAAGAGACAAACATGGCCACAACATGCTGGGGAAATGAGCAATTCAAAAGGGTGACTTAAAAATTACAAACATATATACACCAAAACCTAGTGTACCACTGCATAAAACAAACAGTAATACACATAAAAAATTAAATAAATACCAACAAAACTATAGTTTAGGACTTCTGTACTTTATGGTCATAAGTAGATGAAATAGACAAAAAAGAAATGAATAAAGAAATATCAGCGCTGGACCAAAACTCCAAACCCATTGACTTAATAGGTATCTGTAGAGCATCATAGCACCAACAATAGAATATGCATTCATCCCAGCATCACATGGGACTCTGTCCAAATATGTCATGTGCTAGCACATAAAGCTTGCTTAAATAAATGCAAATGAATAAGAATTACTCAGTGCATATTATCAAATCTTAGTGAAATAGAACTCAAAGTCAATGGAAAAAGAGATCACAGAAAGTTTGCAAACATACAGAAGTTAAAAAATACCATACTGAATATTCATTGAGTCATGGAAGAAATCAAGCAAAAAATTAGATACTTTGTAGAATTGAACAATAATTCCAGAATAACATACTGGACTGTCTGAGACACAATGAAAGTGATCTGAAGAGGAAAGTTTAAAGTGATGAATGCGTACATCAGAAAAACAGAGCAAGCATAAATAAATAACCTGATGACACAATTCAAGGTCCTAGAAATATAAGAACATCCAAATCCCAAGTTGAAATGAGGAAGGAAGCTATATAGATTAGAGTAGAAATTAATGAGATTGAGACTGAAAAACAAAAAGAATCAGTGAAGCCAAGAGTTGTTTTTTTGAAAGAATAAACAAAATTGACAAAACCCTAGCCAATCTTACCAGAGAAGGAAAGGGAAGACCCAACAACTCTGTGCAATTATACATGGAAAAAAAAAAACACCTCACAATGGATTATGCTGAAATCCCAAAGATCATTGTTAAATACTATGAGAATCTGTTCTCTCATAGAATTGGCAATTTGGAAGCAATATATAAATTCCTAGACACATGAACTACACAAGATGAACCCAGAAAACATAAAAATTCTGAATAATATCATACCAGCCAATGAAATTGAAGAAGTAGTAAAAAATTACCAACCAAGAAAAGCCCAGATACTGATGGATTGATTACTGAATTCTACAAGAACTTTAGAGAGAGCTTATGTAAACACTCCTCAAAATCTTTAATAAAATGGAAAGAGAAGCTGAACTCCCAAAGTCATTGCTGGAAGTAAGCATTAACTCAAACTCAAAAGCAGGAAAGGACACAACCAAAAAAAAAAAAAAAGCCAAACTCTTTAAGGAACACAGATGCAGCCTTCTTCAATAAGGTACTGACAAAAAGAATGCAACAAATCATCAGAAAGATCATGCATTATGACCAAACAGGATTTGATCTGGGCATACACGGACATTTCAACTTGGGCAAATCAATACACGCAATACGTCATGTAAGTAGATGCACTGACATAAATCACATGGGCATACCAACAGACACAGGAAAACCATTGAACAGAT